CATGTTATGTGAAGGTCTGACTTTGTTCTTGTCTTTATCTGAGACTCAGTATGGTTTAAGGAGTTGTATATAGATGTCAAACTGACAGAGTGAACTAGGAGGGTTAATTTTATGTGTCAACTAATTAGGTTATGGTATCCAGCTATTTGGACAGACATCAATCTAGATGTTGCTGTATAAATATTTTTTAGATGTGATTTAACATTTTAAATCAGTACACTTGAAGAAAGTAGATTATCCTTCAAAATGTGAGTGGGCCTCATTCAATCAGTTGAGCAAAAACTGAGATGTCCTAAAGAAGGAATTCAGCCTTAAAACTACAACTCTTAACCGAATTTCCAGCCTACAGACTTGCCGTATGGATTTTGGACTTACCAGCTCTAACAGCAGCATGAACCAATTCCTTAAAATCAATTAATCAATCAAGAAATCATTACCTCTCTCTCTCTCCTACAGGTTCTGTTTCATCTGCAGAACGCTAATACAGTCCACAAAATACTTCACATTCATTTAACATCCACTTAAAAAACAGAGAACAGCTTGACTTTCTGAAGGGCCTAGAAGAATTCACCAGAAAATGACAGTATTGTCTACAATGTCTATATCAACTCCAAAGAGATTTTAAATTGCTCTAATTCCAAAGAAAATCGGTCCATAAAAACTAGAGATATATGAAGTGGAAAAAAGGAAAAATCTATAATACTGTGTATAATATGCCACCATTAAAAAAAACGGTGGGAGTAACTTATTTTCTCAAAAGAAGAATCTAGTAACAGTGGCTGTCACTAAGACAATGGGTGACTAAGGTAAAAGAAAAGAGATTTTTCTTCTTTTTGAAAACCAGATATATATATGTTCTAATAAAACAGTATTAAATTTATCATAATAAACTGGAAATGTAGACAGGTGTGATCCATATAAAGCATAATTTTTATCTGTTTTGGTAACCTCAAGACAGTTATAAAATAGGTTATAATAAAAATTCCACTCACTCATTTATGGATAATAAAGACCATTATAAACTTATGAACAAAAATAGATACAGAGGCAGAGCAGCCTCGAACAGACTGTCAAACTATACCAGAAGGCTGGGAGGGTTGGGGGCGGGGGGGTCTTAAGAGAGCAACGAAGGGCTTGTATGCATACATATAAGCATAACCAATGGACATAAGACACTGGGGGGTAGGGGAGGCGGGGAGGCTAGGGGATTGTCAAGGGCGGGGGGAAAAAAGGAGACATATGTAATACTCTTTGTAATACTTTAAGCAATAAAACAATTAAAAAAAATTCCAATAGTTGTGATATGGAACCAATTTTTAAAATCATATAAACATATCCAATTTTGTAACTGAAATGAATAACAAATTGGGATTTCCATTAACATATCCTTTATATTAAACTTTTAAGGAATAATTTTATTATAATTATCTTTGTACATTTTAATAGCTGGATTAATCTTCATAATTTAGTTAATCCTGTTTATCTGCATGTTAGTTAAAATATAATAAATATTTAGTAAATCATGAGATTAAGTATATGGCTTCTTTTTAAAAATCAAATTTCAAGTAACCTTTTTTAAAAACAAAAATATCTTAAACCTCATATTTTCATCAGAGAAACACTAAAAAGAGTTTCTTTTATTATCTTACTTACTGGTGCCATTTCCATATTATTAATCTGAGCTTCATGGAAGCCTCCATCTGACATAACTTCCTCTTCTGTTTCTTCTTCTGCTGTAGCAACATTTCTTCGCTTGAATAACTGAAAAATAAAAGATGTTACTAAAGTAATTTTAACACAAGGGAGTTCAACAGCCAAACACTAGTCACCCTACTTAAAAGGTAATAAGGATGGGGATTTTGAAAATTATTTTAAAAATTCGAAAGTCTGTGCCACCTTCAACCTTTCCTGATGGACTATTTCAGAACTCTCCAGTCTTATAATATACTGCAAGTAACTATCACTTGATGAGTAAAACTTACTGAAAGGTCTCACACTGCATGACCTATAAAAAAGGTAAGGTTGGAAAATGGAGCTGGGGTATGCTTGGCCATTTCCTGAGAGATCAACGCAAAACTCCAAAAACCTGCAGAAAGTATTCATTGACTCTTTAGCTTAATATTGATCATTGCAGGTGTGTGAGGAAAAGATCCAAAGTTGGAAAATGAACCACTTTCAAGGAGCATGCAGAACAATTTCAGGGGTCACAGAGATCAAGAGATAGTTTATGCTTTGACCGGCTGGAATAGAAAAAAACTCCTAATATATGGGGCATTAGGTAGAAGACTCAGAACAGTATTGATTTAGTTGTGATGCTAAATTAGCCCTAAATTAAAGGCTGTTCTGGTCCAGTCTGATGAAACTTTTTTGCAAACTGCTTCCAAGTTGATTAACTACATCCAATGACAATGTCACAATTATATACATTATGGGGAACAAAATTATACTTATTAAAAAGTATATTAAAAACTCCAACACCAAATGAGATCAAATTCACAATGCTTGGCATTCAATTAATAACTACCAAGCATGCAAAAGAAGTAGGAGACTACCAATGAGGAAGAGAAAAATCAATCAAATGAATCAAAATCACCTAGAAATGATGAAGATGGCAAACTGGACCAAGACATTAAAATAGTTTTTATGAATATATCCACAATATTCAAAAAGTAGAGTAAAATATAAACATGAGAAGGAGAGAATGGAAAACACACACACAAAAGGCAAATCAAATACCTAGAGATGAAAAATTTTTCAGATGAAAAGTATGCTGGGTGGATTTACAGATTAGATATCATAGAAAAAAGATTAGTGGATTTATGGACATTGCAATAGAAGCAATCCAAAATAAAAGAGAAAAAGGCTGAGAAAATATGTACAAAACATAAAAATATTCCTGTGGGACAAGGAATATATTTAAACAGACTTCATTAAAATAGATATATAGATGGCATATAAGCCCGTGAAAGATATTCAACTTTAGTAATTAGAAAAATGCAAATTAAAATCATAATGAGATACTATTACACACACCTTAGAATAGTTAAAATGAAAATGACTGACCATACCAAATGTTGACAAGGAAATGAAACTCCATACGTTACTGACGGGTAGGTCAAATAGTACAACCCATTTTGGCCATCAGTTGACAGCTTCTTAACTATACAACGACTAAACAATCCAGCCATTTTGCTCCTAGATATTTATCCCAGAAAAAGGAAAATATGTATCTATAAGAGCTAGCTATAAATGTTCACAGCAGCTTTATTTGCAATCACCAAAACCCAGAAACGCTCCAAATTACCATCAACAAGTGAATGGATAAACCAACTGTGGTTTATCCATGCAACAGAATACTAAACAATATAACAAAATGAACTACTGATACATACATAGCATAAGTAAACCTCAAAATTATTAAGCTGACTAAAAGAAGGCAGACAAAAATATAAATACATATTTTATGATTCCATTTATGTAAACTAATCAGTGGTGACAGACACAGATTATAAATTGCTTGGAGATAGGAAAGGGTTGAGGAAAGGGTACTACAAAGGTGTAGCAGAAAGTTTTGAAAGAGATAAATAGGTTATCTTTTCTTTTTTAAATATGTTTTTTATTAATTTTTAGAGAGAGGAAGGGAGAGGGATAGAGAGATAAAAACATTGATTGGCTGCCTCCTGCACACCCCCTACTGGTGATTGAGCCCACAACCTGGACATGTTCCCTGACCTGGAATAGAACCAGCAATCTCTTGGTTCATGGGTTGATACTCAAATACTGAGCCACACCAGCCAGGCAATAGGTTCACAGAATATATCAAAACATCAAACTATACACTTTATTATATATCAACTATAAAGACAAAAAGTTTTTTTTAAAGACAGCATAGAGTTATAGCTGAAATAAATTGAAATATTATGTTAAACACCTTAAGTTCCTAATAACATTAAAAACACTCATTCTACTGGTCCCTTTGGAAGATGCTAAGGAACCAAATTTCCATTTTGAAAACAAAGGAGAGAATCAAGTGTTTCTCTTTCTTATATGATTAATAATTAAGGTAAACAAACAAACAAACAAAAAACAACAAAAAATTTGAGGAAAAGCTCTTCTTTAGAGTGATCTACCAGCTAATAAAAGCAGAAGGAATGATAGAATGGTCATTTAATGATCAAGTAATGGATCTAGGTAATGACCATCAAAGGTTGCTAAAATCTGAAGTGAAAAACTCATGGATATTTAGTAGATGCTTTGATATTAAGGAACTTAACTTTTTAAGGTATGATAATACTACTCTGGTTTAAGTTTGAAAGTCTTTATCTTTTAGAGATACTCTGAAATATATAAGTGAAATTATTTGCTAATGGGATTTGTATCCAAGTAATCCAGGGTATTATTTTACTTCTGTCTAAGGATATCCTTTAACATTGCTTGTAGTGCACATCTGGTGGTGATGAATTCTTTCAGTTCTTTGTATGCGTGAGCACATCTTTTACTTCACCACTGTTTTGAAAAATATTTTTGCCAGGTACAAAATTCAAAATAAAGATTCTTTCTTTGAGTACTGTAGAGTTGTTTTTCCAGTGTCTTCTGGCTTGTACTAGATGTTGCCATTGAGAAATTTGACATCACCTTTATCTTTGTTCCTCTGTATGTAACATGTCTGTTTTCTCTGGGTGTTTTTTTTTTTTTTAATATTTTTATTGATTTCAGAGGAAGGGAAAGGGGGAGAGAGAGATTGAAACATCAATAATGAGAATTGTCAATCAGCTGCCTCCTGCACGCCCCCTACTGGGGATTGAGTCGGCCCTTGGGCATGCGCCCTTGACCAGAATTGAACCCGGGACCCTTCGGTCCACAGGCCAACACGCTATCCACTGAGCCAAACCAGCTAGGGCTTTTTATTTTCTTTTAAAAAAATATATTTAATTAATTAGCTAATTTTCAAACCAGTTATTGGGCATATGTAATTTTTAAGTAGGAGTAATCACAAAAACTATTGTTTTTCTTTATTCACTGTTTTCTGTAGGTAAAATGGATACACATTTATGTAATAACACAAAATCTGCTTCTTTTTAAACACCTGACTTCAGAAACACCAGTGAAAGTAAACTCAGCATTGGTGGTTGCAGGCGAGTCGCCGTTTTAAAGGCAATTCCATGTGTGTCACGCTTCTAAACTGCGCCTAGTACTGAACAAGCAGTGCTAGCGTGAGACCTGAACATTTCATGTCCTGGAGAGGTGGCCCTCCCCGGGCAGGGCAGGTGCAGTGAGCTGAGGGGAAGGGAAAGGGGCAGGGGCGCCAGCCCGGCAGCAGCAGTGAGGCCCGTGGGTGAGCTCCGCGCAGGCCGGGCGCACTCACCGCTCACCGGGGCTTTTCGAAGAGGTACTCGAGGTCCCGGGGCGTGCAGCCGCTGCTCCTTGTTTTTGTTTTTAGCGAAGTCTCTCAGCAGCGCCAGGATTACGTTTTCAAATATTTCTGGCGCCGGTTTTGCTTCTGTAGCCCAGTGGTAAATATCCCAGTCATTAATGGGCTCGTTAATCAGGCGATCGTACAGGTCCAGCTGTTTCTCTGTCATTTGATGCAGATATTCTTTATCAAAGAGGCTGAGCAGGATGCAGTTCTCCAGCATCCCCCCCTTCCGGCTCTCATACAGCAGGCGGGCTCTTCTGGTCTCTATGGGCTCATCAGTTCGCTCCTGCCACAGAGGCAGAGGGATTTCAATCATATCCTTCTGGGAATCTGACAGGCTGTCACCTCTGTAGAAAAGGAGACACGAGGTGCTGCCTTGACAGAGCAAGCATACGGAAAAGAAAGAGAGGCCGTAGATGCGGCGTGCAATCGTGCCAGGTATCTGGAAAGACAACAGAGGCTGGGGCGTCCTGAGGCTGTCGACCTCTCCTTAGCCTGCCCTTGCCCGGGCCGTCAGCAGCTGGATGCCGCTCGCGGGCTGAAGACTGCAGAGGAGGATGAGGCTCAGCGCCCGCGGCAGCCCGCCAGGGGCACCAGAACCTCCAAGCTCCTCACCCGCGTCAGAGCCGGCAACACTGCGGCCAGTGCCATTTTGCCCCGACCTGGACCGGAAGCCGGTCCCCTCTCTGGGTGTTTTTAAGACGTTTCACAACTGGTTTTGAGTAGCTTAGTTATAATGTATCATGGTGTACTTTTCATTATGTTTTTGTGACTAGGATTCAGTGAGTTTCTTGATCAGTGGATTTATAGTTTTTAGCTACTATTTCTTTCAATAGTTTTTTTCCTCTTCCACCCTCTCTCCTCTCCTTCAGGTACCTCCAATTGTCCACAAGTTCCTTAAAAAGTTGTCTTATAGCTTATTGATGTCTTCTCTTCCATGCGTGTGTACACATGTGTGTGTTCTTTTACCTCTTCTTAATTTTGTATAGTTTCTATTCATATCCATTGAAGTTAACTAATATTTTCTCCTGTAACTTCTCATTTGACATTGATCCTGTGTATTTTTCTTTTCAGACATTGTACTAGTAATTGTCATCTCATTTGAGTCTTCTGTATACCTTCCATGTCTCTTTTAAATTTTTGAATATATGGAATACAATTACAATACTGCTTTAATGTCATTATCTGCTAATCCTAAATCTGGGTCAGTTCTGGGTCAGTTTCAATCGATTGTTCTTTTCATTAATGCTCATGCTCTTCGGCTTCTTTGTATACCTGGTAATCTTTGTATGCCAGACATAGTCAATTTGATTTTATAGAATACTGGATATTTTTGTATTCCTATAATCCTTGGCCATTGTTCTGATATGCAGCTAAGTTATATGGAAATAGTTTGATCCTCTCGGATCTTGCTTTTATGATGTGTTAGGTAGGTCTGGAACAGAACTGCTAAGTATATGGCTAATTAATCTCTACTACTGAGGCAAGACTCTCCTGAATCCCTACATAATGCCCCATGAATTCTGAGTTTTTCCAGTCTGGCTAGGAGAATAAGCACTATTCTGAGCCCTGTGTTAATTAAGTGCCAGACACTATTCCCTCCAATTTTGGATGATATTTTCTCTAGTGTTGGGTAGTTTCCTCAAACACATGTGCTGACCAGACTCTGCTGAACATTCAAGGAAACCTTTTGAAGACCTCCAGGCTTCTCTCTATCTGTACAGGTCTCTCTTTTCTGGTATTCCATCCTATGAACTTTATTAGCCTTGGACTCCCTAGACCAGCCGTGGGCAAACTACGGCCCGTTTGAAATGAATAAAACTAAAAAAAAAAAAAGACCATACACTTTTATGTAATGATGTTTACTTTGAATTTATATTAGTTCACACAAACACTCCATCCATGCTTTTGTTCCGGCCCTCCGGTCCAGTTTAAGAACCCATTGTGGCCCTCGAGTCAAAAAGTTTGCCCACCCCTGCCCTAGACTCAGGTCTGTCTTCTCAACTCGGAAGCTTACCTTATACCAGTTTCCCCCGTGATGCAACTTGAAAACTCTGGTAGTAAGCTGAGGTTATCACAGGGCTCACTGCATTTGTTTCCCATCTCTTGAGATCACTTCCTTCATTGCTTGATGTCTGGAAACTTCAACTACTGTTTAATGTATTTTATCTATTTATTAGAGGCCCAGTGCATGAAAATTCATGCACTCAGGGGGGGTCCCTCAGCCCGCCCTTCGCCCTCTCACAGTCCGGGAGCCCTCAGGGGATGTCCACCTGCCGGCTTAGGCCCGCTCCCCGGGGGATCGGGCCTAAGCTGGCAGTCAGACATTCCTCTGGCAGCCCAGGAGCCCTCAGGGGATATCCGACTGATGGCTTAGGCCCACTCCTGGTGGGGAGCGGTTGGACATCCTTAACGCTGCTGAGGCAGCGGGAGAGGCTCTCCCCACCGCTGCTGTGCTCGCAGCCATCAGCCCGGCTTATGGCTAAGTGGAGCTCCTCCTGTGGGAGTGCAATGACCACCAGGGGGCAGCTCCTGCATTGAACATCTGCCCCCTGGTGGTTAGTGTGCATCATAGCAGCCAGTCGTTCCCAGTCATTCCACGTTAGGGTCAATTTGCATATTACCCCTTTATTATATAGGGTTCTTGTGGTTTTTTTTTTCAGGGAGAATAAATCTGGGCTCTGCTACTCCACTTTGGCAAGAAACAGAAGTCCTCATAGTACTCTTCCTGATACTCAAAATATCCTACTTTTGGCTAATGGAAGCCTGTTCAAGCCACCTCCTGAGTCTTTTCAACACAACACAATTTCAGTGGCCTTAGATTACTTTTTTGCTTTATGTTATGAAAAAAATGTTAAAGGTTCACCTTGAACATTTCCTACCTGTAATCAAGAATCAGCTATTTTTCTAAGGAGCCTTGCTCCTATGAGAGAAAATACTAATGACCATAATCTTAGGATGCTGAGGATGCTCGCTACTTCAAGGTATTTCACTATTTCTAGAGATGTGTGTTTAAAAAATATATCATAAATACCTACTGATACTACCAATTCAAATTTATGTAACTTCTTTGGTTTTCTATTTCCATATTCTCTTGATCTAAAAAATCCAGGTTCCTAAATTAACAAATACTTATTTGCTATATCCATAACTATCAATCCTATGACTGTTAACTATGAATACTATAATTACTAAAAGCATTGAAGATTTGTTTATACTTTTTGTCTTTTATATCCCAATAGAGACAATTAATCACACTGCCATATTTTAAATGTATTAAAATAATTTTTCTCTGTATGATTTAGCAACAAGCATGACTTACAGGGATATTTAATTACTTTTGCTTATTTTTAAAGATTTCTTTCCTCATTTTGATTTAATTTTATAATCATTTAAAAACATTTACATGACTGCAAAATCACTTAATCACTAAAAGTACATCTACTGGAACTGCAAAATTTATATCCACAGGCAGTGTCTTTAATATGGTATGGCAGGATGTTGTTAGTGATCTTTAATTACTATAGGTCATGAAGCATACAACTGCTGATAACAAGTGGAATTTTTTTTATATCCTCACCTGAGGATATGTTTACTGATTTGAGAGAGGAAGAGAGAGAGAGAGAAACACCGATGTGAGAGAAACATCGATCGGTTGCTTCTGATACATGCCCAGACTGGGAATTGAAGCCTACGTATATGGACTGACCAAGAACTGAATCTGCAACCTTTTTGGTGTACTCTGGGATGACACTCCAACCAACTGAGCCACCTAGCCAGGGCAAGAGGAATTTAAAAATAATACCATTTACATCACAAGAAAAGAGATGAGAAATTCTCAACAAAGGGAAGTCATACTAGTAATACTACAGCTATACAGCAAGCCTACAGGATAAACAATACTGACTGAAGCAAAAGGACAGAAATACTTAGATATTGTGATATAATTATACTAGGAGAATTGATATAAAGGAAAGAGTGGTGTAAGAGCTTAAATCTTCACTTCATACAACAGATCAATAAATATTTTAAATTGATAAACATATATAGTAACATACACATATTACCTAGAAATGTAACAGTATAAACCACATTGAACAGTTAAGAGTGGAAGAAATACTTCAAGTAGTCAACAAGAACAGAGGATTTGACTGACCCTAACTTATTCTCTTTACCCCTTTTGGGAAATATAGGATATCCCCCTAAAAAATACATACTTTGAATGATTATGAAGTCAGTATTTATTAACATACAATTCATTTTCAAAATTTAAAGGAATCTACAGAAATGAGTCATTTTTTTGTCAGCGCCTGTTTTAAAATCGATGACCGTTCTGATCCAGGCACTGCTGATAGCGTGAAGCAATGGAATCGCAAACATCAAGAATCATTTCCTTTGGTATCTGTATGCCGTCAACTCATCAACTGCTGCTGGTTTTGTAATGTAAACTTTATCTTTTATGTATCCCCATAAAAAAAAAGTCTAGTGGATAATTTTTCTTTGTTCAAAGTTTAGTCTGGCTTCACCCATTATTTCGAATCAGTTAAACCTGAAAAGGGGTGAAAATTAAGTGAGTTATCTGCTGTTAAGGTGTATATAATTATAAGGGCAGTGCTTGTACTTCAACTGCATCTTTAAACTTCCAGTAGCATTTTAAAATGAATTTCCTTTGTTCCAAGCTTAATCTGGCTGAAAAGAAACATCAATTGAGCTATCAGCTATTAAAGTGTGTATACATGTTTTGGGGATACCCTATATTTTCAAAAATAAAATTAACTCAAAATTTAAAAATAAATAAATAATAATTACCTACACATGTTCCTGAATAATATAGAATCAATCCAGGGGTGAAAAAACGTATTCCCTGAGGTTTTGCTTTAAAATATTACATAATAAAAAAATGTAGAGGCAGATAAGACACAAAATAAGGCAAATTGTTGACAATTACTGAACCCAGAGAATGGGTTTATGAAGTTATTTGTCCTTTACTTCTGTACATATTTAAAAAGTTTCAAATGAAGTTTAAAATAAAAAGCAATGTTTTCTTGGCCCCTTGAGAATTCATTAACAAACGCACATAAAATCTTAAGTTGCAACTTTAGAAAAATAAAATACACCATAAACAAATAGGTCAAAGTATTAAACAGTGGTTATAGTAGGGAAATGGGAACAGGAGAGATTTCTTCATTCTTGTATTTCACTTCTTCCCTCACCCCCAAAACATGTTGATTTTACAGTGTGTCTGTGGGATGGATGGATGGATAGATGGATAGATAGATAGATAGATAGATAGATAGATCGATAGATATAGATATATAAAAACATTGTTAAAATTAAAGGAAAGTGGGTTCAGTCTTAAAATGTTCTTTAAAAGGAATAAATAATATAGTAAAGGACTTACCTGCTCTTCTCTTTTCTGTTTACGAAGCTGCAGTCCTTCTTCTTCCCTCCTCCTGCGCATCTCATCAGGATTCAGGGACTTATTTTTATAACTTTTCAGGCGAAAGTTCTCTTTTCCTGGGGTAGTCATGATTTCTACAAAAATGAGAGGAAAGGAATAGATGAGCTTAGCTTACTGTAAAGAGCTCTGCCCAGGTTCACCCCATAAGGATACCAGAAATGTAACACCTTTATTAAAGTACTAGAGGCCTGGTGCACGACTGCCAGCTTAGGTCCGCTCCCTGCCAACGCTGCAGCCGTGAGCCTGGCTTCTGGCTGAGCGATACGCCCCTCCTGCGTTGAGCATCTGCCCATGGTGGTCAGTGCACGGCATAGCAACCAGTCGTTCTGCCATTCAGTTGATTTGCATATTAGCCTTTTATTATACAGTGGGGCCTTGACTTACGAGTTTAATTCGTTCCGTGACGGAGCTCGTAACTCCAACTACTTGTATGTCAAATCAATTTTCACCATTACAATGAATTGAATGCTGGGCTGATGTTGTGGCGTTCACTGTGACATTCGCTGCGTCAACTAGCGGTGGGGTATCTGAAGCTGGCTCATAACCCGAATTTTAGCTCGCAACTCAAAGCAAAAAATCGGCCGAGAGATGGCTCGTATCTCGAAAAACTTGTTAGTTGGGACACTCGTAAGTCAAGGCCCCACTGTATAGGACTAGAGGCCCAGTGCACAAAATTCATGCACAGGTGGGGGGGGGGTGTCCCTTGGCCTGGCTGGCGATCAGGGCTGATCAGGGCCAAGTCAATTGGGGCTGGGCCAATTGGGGACTGAAGGCTCCGTCAAGGTCAAGATAGGAGGTGACAGTCACCAGGCCAGCTGTCGAAGGAACAGACA